CATAATCTCTCTTGGTTCTTATTTTTCCACCTTCTCCTGCCTGCTCTTCAACCCCTCCATCCCTCCCTATTTACAAAGACTTTGTTTCCTTTTTTTCATTTTCTCATATTAATTCCATTCCCTTCTTTCCTTTCCCCTACCCCTCCCACTTCCCCTTCTCCTTTGCCCCTTTTCTTCCTATTTCACCTTCTTTTAAGAGGGCTAGGGATTTAGCTCAGTGGTTCTTCGGCCTGCCTCAAAAGCACAAGGTCCCGAGTTTGATCCCTAGTACCAAAAAAAGAAAAAAAAAGAACTTTTAAGGTATAACTTAGTACTACTGTATGACTATTAAAATTCATTAGCACTTACTTCTCTCCTAATAAAAATATCAAAACCCAAATTTGGGGAGAGAACCTCATAAATTATTTGCATCTGGTTGTCTACCCCACATGCTTCTACTAGTTCCAACTGGAGAGCACCTCCCTGATGGTAAAGACCCTACAGTACTTGGCATCTAGCTTAGCAAATAACTGATACAGAAATGAAAGAATATATAAGCAGTACTAAGCACTTTGTAGTGGAAATGTAGCATCTGCTTTCTCTTTCCTGACAGACTTCTCTCTGGAGATAAGCAGTTCCAAGGAAGCTGACTCAGTCTTTGGCTTCAGCATGTGACCTAGGTTAAGTCAGTGAGTACATTCCACATCTCTAGGCCACAGTGATTGAATCAAGAATGGTTATATGATCCAACAAACAACAATCAGAGAGTGTCAGGACTTTTGCAAAGAACTCTGAGATAAACATCCTCTCATACTTGCTGGACTTTAATGAGGAAGCCAATAGTCCAGGGATCTGCTTCAAAGGACTACGGGAGCTAGCTTTCAGGAATAAGCAGCAGAAGATAGAGGAAATAAATGAAAAGAAACTGAATTCTCAGCGGTGCTGAATCTTTCCTGAAGCCAGTGCTGCCTTTTTTAGTTTTCAGTTACATAAACTAATAAATTTTCTTTGTTGTTTAAACAACTCTGAGTTGTAGTTTTCATTAATTGCAACGGAAAGCATCCTTAGTAAAACACATTTCCAAGGATTATGGAAATAAATGGTATTTTCTTTCTCTTAGTTGGCACTGGTCTGTGGTCCTCCACACATACTAAAACAACCAGCTTCTGTAACAGAAGACATTATCTCAGATTTCATCCTGAAGTCCTGGGTTAAATGAAAGTATCTGAAGCTTCTCAAAACAATAGTCTGTTCTGTGATTTGGAATCACAGAAACAACTTTGAACAAGGTTTTTATTCTTTTATTCCAATATTATTTCTTATCTCCAAAGCATTCTGTTGGGTACCGAGAAGTTTTATCCTGGGGTGTTTGTGAATGACTAGGTAATCATTTTAAGCTTATTTCTCTTTACTAAGGTCAAAGATATGTATTAGGATCTATGTAATGTGCATAGTTTTATTAATCACTGCAAGTCAAGGTATTTCTGGAAAGTCAAGGCAAACTTGAGTACAGCAAGAACACCACAGAAACACATTCATGTCTTAAGAAGCATTAGAAAGCCAGGTGTGGTGGCACAGGCCTGTAATCCCAGCACTTGGTAGGCCGAGGCCAACCTGGACTATATAGTGAGACATACGGGCCAGTGACACAGCTCAGTGGAGCCTGCCTGGCAAACACAAGGTTCTGAGTTCAATCCCTGGTACTGAAGAAAAAAAAATTAAAATAAAAAAAATAACAAACGAGAAATAGACATTTCCAAATGAATAACATCTCTTTCAAAGTAGCTACCTTGGAAGGCATTCATTTCTAAAAAGGCAATTCACATAATGTGCCATCAATTAAAATTTTTACAAAACCTATGCCACAGAGAATTCCAAAATGGTTTTAAGCAATATAACATCATCAAAATAAGTCACTATTCCAGAAGAGGTTTCATTTTGATATAAATCATATAGACTATTTTCTTTACAAAAAAAAAAAAAAAGGCAAAGGATGAGCTTGTGGTCTCCAATACTCAAGAAGCAAGCTGAGGCAGGAGAATTACTTGAGCCCAGTAGTTCAAGACCACCCTGGGCAACATAGGGAAACTGCTAAAAAAAAAAAAGTAATTATATTCTTTAGGGTTAGTTATATAACCTTTCATAAACCTAACCATGTATATTGGCTAAATCTGCTTCTCATATATTTGACCTAAAATTAACTCAGGCAGGGTGTGCATGTCTATAATCCCAGCACTGAGGCACTCAGGCAGAGGATTGAAAGTTTGAGTATCACCTAGACAACTTATCGAGACCTGGTCTCAAAACAAATAAGAAGGGCTTGGGGATGTAGCTCACTGGTAGAGTGCTCCTGGGTTTAGTCCCCAGTACCAGAAAAATAAAATCAGCTCAACTCAGGCTTGAAACTCTTTTAACTCAGCAATACTCTCTTCTCTTTCATTTTATTCAAGTTCTCAAATCAGGCTTCTCTGTGATTGAAGAACTTGAAGTTACTGGTAGACATGTTAAGAAAAAACTTCCATGAAGGCAGAAAATTTGGGAATATCACTCTACTTAATTCACTGCGTAAATGAAAGGTCAACTCTGGAGAAAGGCAAACAGTGGAATGAGTACAAATAACTGATTCTTTCTAAAGACCAAGGCCAGAGAAAAACAGTGCTCTACAGAGCAGACTACAGAGATTCAAAGTCTAGCAGCAGAGAGGAAGAAGAGCAAAGGCTGCTCATAAGCCCCAGAGGACCTATGCAGGGCTGTCGTTTACCTTAGACCAGGCACTTAAGACAATGCCTGCCACCAGACAGTCTCTCAAGACATAGTTTAGTAAGTAAATGAAAATGTTTTCTGAGGGAAATTACAGAATCTGAATATCAGTTTCTATAAATGATGATGGATAAAAAATAAAGATGTGTACTAATTTATGTATGTGTTGAGATTCTCTACTACACTTAGGAGATCTGAAAATTAAAAGTACTACAAATACCCACAAAGAAGATGGTAAACGATGATAAACATTTAGTCTATGCTACAGATACATGGAAATGGACAGTATTTCTAGAATTATAAAAAAATGGGTAAGAGTTTTGTTATAAATATTAAGAATTTCCTTTATTTCAATGCACCATATTTTAAACAATCAGCAATGCAAGAAAAATCAAAAGTGCAGAAATATATTTACAATAAAATAATCCACTTAAAACAGTACTGTTAAATAATTATATTGGGAAAGCTCTCCTGCTAGAACCATATTCCAGAAGCATGTAACTATACAGAAAAAGTCTTAAAAAGAAAACAATAGGTGATAAATGAGGGTAGGAGGGATGGAAAAGAATGTTAGATAAGTTATATAGCAATTTGGAACTGGCAGGAAAAAACACAGATGCAAAGGAGCAAAGTGCTGTTTTATTTTGCAATAGCCCGATCTGTTGGGAAGAGGCCAGTGAGATGAAATTACAGCGCTTCCAACAGTGACTAAGGAGGAGCCCAGCAATGAGAGGTTTTGGTCGAAATGGCATGTTCTGACTTGAGGTGCGACTTCAGGCTTTTCTGCATCTTCTTGTTTTGACTTTAGGAGATGAGGGGGCATTACTTCCAATAAAACAAGCTTCAATGTATACAAGACGGGACTAAAGAGAAACATCTGACTGTCAGGACATTAGAACCTAAAGCATTCTGAAATGTCTGGACACCGGACAGAGCTGGAGGACGCCCCACCTCCTTCGTCTGGGAACACCTGACACCTCAGATGGAGGCAGCTTGCAGGAGATGGAGAGGACACCCCAAGCTCTCCCGACGCCAGCCCCAGCCACTCAGCCTTGAACACACATCCAGGCCGGGAGGAGTCGGCCAGTGGCCGCGGTGGTCCGCGATACCAGCTGGGATTGAAGCAGAGTCGCCCAGGGAGACTCGGCGGAGGCTGACTGCGCGGCTCCGCCGACCCCCGCCGCGCTCCGGTCCACTGGGTCTGGGGAAGGGAGGGCCTTACCCATGTGCTGCGTGTCCAGCTGCACGGCCGGCATCTCCTTCAGAGGAATGTGGCCGGTCCCGCCGTCCCTGCAGCACCGCAGGCAGCATAACACCGACGCCGCCATGGCGCAAAGACCACCGCTCGGCCGCCGCCACAACCGCGCCTCTACCTTGGCGACACCGCCCCCCACCGCTCCACCCCGCCTCACCTCCCGCCCCCGTTCAAGCGCCCGCTGAGTCCTTGTGGAGCGCAGTGGTCGGCTTAGCGACGCCTCTGGCCTGGAGGCGCAGCGCAGGCTGAGGCGCGGTGGGGCCGAAAGAAGAGAGGGCTGCTGGGCGGGGCCGATGGATGGGCGGGGCTAGTTCTGTGCCGGTAAAGGGGCGTGGCGGACAGGACGTGAGAGACGGCGAGCGCCTGCGCATTGTGTCATTTTTCCCCCGGGGGCGGCCTCACGTTCTCCCCCACCACGTTGACTGGTGAGTGAGTTTGCTGCTCTAAACTCTCCGGAGTTCTCGGGTGCTGTGGGTGTTTTCTTTTGTTTTGAGACGGGGGGTGGGTGGGGGGTGGGGTCGCTATATTGCCTAGACCGGTCTCCAACTCCTGGGCTCTTTTTGCCTCAGCCTCGAGAACAGGTGGTACTACAGGCACGCGTCACCACTACTGGCTGAATGCTATTGTAAAAACTGCCTTTCGACAGTTTTAAAAGACATTTTTAAAAATGCCTAGCGACATGATTTTTTGTGGGTAGACTGACCGAAACAGATTGGCCCGGGGGAGGGGAAACTGACAAAAATGCGCCCTGAGGTTTCCCTCAGCCCGCCTGGGGCCGAGCGAACTGAGCCTGCACGGGGAGCCTCCGTACCCCTCCTTGTGGCTGGGTCTGAGTTTTCTCAGAGCCGAAGTAGATCACCGCTGGCGCCGAGAGGAGCGTGGATTAGTGGTCGCGCTGTGGGCTTGCACCCGCGCTCTTCGAGGCCCCGCAGCATTTTCCGTGCGGAGCCGCGCTGTTCCGGCCCTCGGGAGACCGTCCTGCGAGGAGACCGCTGGGCAGGGCCAGAGGGCGGCTCTGGACGGCCTCTTCCAGGCTCTCCTCTCTTGTGCACTGAGGGCTCCCAAGAAGGCGAAGGGAGGCTGTGGGAAGGCTGCCAGGTCTCCCCAGGGAACCCCTCGGTTCCTACGGTCTGTTCCTGCTTCGACGTAGAAGGGCCCCGTGGCCGTCACTTGTCATCTCCCCTTAGATCCTTAGGTGGCAGATTTTTCGTCCTCACCACTTGGCATCTAGGATTAACCTGGCTCAAACCTCTGTTCACAGATCATAGTGAAGGCTTCGCAGATCATAGTGAAGCCATCTGTCTGTTAGTAGGTAGAGCACTTAGGCCTGTGGCTTGCCTACTGTCCTAGTTATTTTTTCACTGCTGAGACAGTATACACCATCCACAACTTAAAGGAAAAAGGTTTATTTTGGCTCACAGTTAGACATTTCAGTCCCTAGTCTGCTGGCTGTAAAGCAGTGTGGCATGGAGAAACAAAAAACCCCAAAAAGTGGCATGGAGAAACAAAAAGTGGAAAATTACTCATGGCAAGGTGGGCAAGAAGCAGGGAGTGATCAAAGGGGAGGCTGGCCACACCCCCATGATCCAAGTACATCCTAAAAGCCCCACCTGTGAGCATCTGAGGCTTTAGGGAGGACATCTAGATATAAGCCACAAAACCTACAAAGGGTGATAAGTGTTTTGTACAAAATTTTTATGGCCAAAGATAAGACTGTATAAGCTAGTATTATGGGAGAAAGGTTGGAAAAACTCTTAGCTGTACGAAATAGCTCAAGTAAGTTTGCCAAAGCAACTCAAGACATTCAAGTGGTTCTGTATCTTTGGACTACAGTAGGACTAGGGAGTGAGAAGTCACCATATCCAGATTATAAAATCCAAAAGAATTTGACATTTGCAGAAGAGACCAGTCATGAAAAAAAAAACTTTCTGATATATATATATATTGTATTTGCAAGAAAACAAAATTATACTTATGTCATTGAAATTGTGAAAAAGATCTTAAAATGTTTCTAGTAACAAGGAAGGGCACATGAATTATAAGTTAAAATTATCCAACATTACTAATTTAAGATATGTAAAACGTCATTTAGTGTCATTATTGTATTTTGGGGAATATAAAAATATAGTTTTTTCAAAAGATTTCATCTACAGTTACAATTACTCCAAACCTATTTTCTCAATAATGGTTTTGCATATCAATAACCCAAATTTAGGGATTATCAGAAACTTCATTGTGTTGAGAAGAAACTATCATAGTCAAGATACATGTATCTATGGCTGCAGATGTGATACTGGTTAGGGTTAGGGCAGTTCTGGGGAATTAGTGGGATACTATAATTTGCAGATTTATAACCTGAATCACAGGGAAAGTGAGACTACCTAAAATTGTTAGTGAAAGTTTATAAAATTGTAAACTGGGCCGGGGGCGGGGGGTGTAGCTCAGTAAGAGCATGTACTTAGAATGGACAAGGCACTGTTTGATCACTTGCACTACAAAAGCAAAGCAAAACAAAACAAAAACTCTAGAGTATTTGAAAACTGCTTTTAAAAATCCACTGTGAAATAACAACAGCTCGAAGATGTTCCAAGGATATGTTCTGGCAAAGAGAACTTTAGTGTAGGAGAATAGATCTACAAAGAATTGAACATGATTAAACTTTTTTCTTATTTTTATCTATTCCAGATGTTTAGCCAAATGCTTTAAGAATGATTTTATATCTCTTTCTGAAAAGGAAAACTTCCTACTTGTATATATGACATCTAATATCTAATGCAGATATCAGTCTACATTACACATTTAATACATTCTACAGAAAAAAAGATGTGAAGCCTTGGAAAGAAAGGGAAAAGTTAAGATGCTTGAATTTGCCTAATTTTTTTTTTAGAAAAAAAAAAAGAAAATTCCATTTCATATGTTCTGAATTCATTGGTGCCTGTTACACAGCGAACGCTTAGTAAATATTTTTTAAAACATCAAATGATTGAAGCCCCCAAAATAAGTAAGTATATTCTAATTACATCTCATGTCGTGATTTAAATATGAAATGACCTCAAAAGACTCAGGTATCATGTATGGCTTGATTCTCAAGGCAGCAATGTTCAGAGGCAAGGCCTATAAAACTGATTGGATTGTAAGGACACTAACCTCATCAATGGATTAGTCCATCAGTGAATTCATAGCTGAATGGGAGGTGGGGCCCAGTTGGGGAAGTAAGTCATGGGAGGCGTACCTTTGAAGGGTGTATTATTACTTTCCTGTCACTTGGATAAAATGCCTGACATCTGCAATATAGGGAGAAGTTTATTTTGGCTCATGATTTTCAAAGGATTCAGTCCATGGTCAGTTGACTTAGCAGAAATGGCATGGCAGAAGAGCATAGCAGAGGAAATCTACTCACCTCCTGACAGCCAGGAAGCAGAGAGAAAAGAGAATACACCCTTTCAGGTCAGACCCCCAGTGAACCACTTCCAGCTGGGTCCCACTTCCTAACAACACATTCAACTATTGAACTCATGAACAGATAAATCCCCTGATGAGTATAGCGCCCCCATGATCCATCACCTTCCAAACACAGACTTTTGGGGGAACATTTTATATCTAACTCATAACAAAGGGTCTATCTTATCCCAGCCTCTTCCTCTCTGGCTCTCTTCCTGTGCTCTTTCCTGGCTGCTAGGAGGTAAGCCACTTTCCTTCACCAGGCCTCTCTACACCATGATGTTTCTGCCTAGGTCACAGGGCTAAAAGCAATAGAGCCCACTGACCTCAGAAGAAACCTCTGAAACCGTGACCCAAAATAAAATTTTCATCCTTTGGGTGTTTTTCTCAGGTCTTTTGGTCACAGTGAAAAAGTACTATCCACAGTACCACACCTTATTTCACCTAAAACTTAAAAAGTAACATATAAATTGAATTCTTAGAGAATGATATCCACATTAAATGCACCAAGACAGGTTGCTATATAAAGGAATCAAGTATAGGTTTTTTTTTTTTTTAAGTAAAAGCTTATTGATATGTAATTCACACACTGTAAAATTCAGCCTTTTTAGTGTACAATTCAGTGGTTTTCAATATATTCACAAAATTGGGCAACAATTGGTATCTTCCCCAAAAGAAACTATGCTCATTAGCAGCTACTTATTCCTCCCTAGCCCAGCCTCTGGCAACCACTAATCTACTTTCTGACTCTCTGGGTTTACCTATTCTGTATATTTCATATAATATTTGGTCTTCTAAAATATCTAGTGGACTAGGGTTGTAGCTCAGCAATAAAGTGCTTCCTAGTGTATATGAAGCCCTGGGATGAGCCCTAGCACCAAAAACAACAAACACACAAACAATAAAACTACATTAAAAAAAAACAACAAAAAACTACATAAATACCTGCCTTCTTTCACTTAGCATGCTGCTTTTAAGGTTCATCCGTATTGTTATAGCATGTATCAGTACTTCCTTTTTTTCCCCTCTCTACCACTGAGCTATACCCCCCAGCCTAGTCCTTGCTTTTTATGGTCAAATAATATTCCATTGTATAAAAATATCTTATTTTGCTTATCTGTGTATTAGTTGATGAACATTAAATTATTTGTTTTCTTTGGCAATTATGAACAATGCTGCCATGAACTTTCATTGCATAAGTTTTTGAGCAGCGTATGTTTTAAATTCTCTTGGCTGTGTATCTAGTAGTGAAATTGCTGGACCATGACAACTTCATTTAAATGTTTAAATAACTATCAAACTATTTTTCTAAATAGTTGTACCATCATTACAGTACCATCAGCAACGTATGAGAGTTCTAATTTCTCTACATCCTTGCCAATATTTGTTATCATCTGACTTTTTAATTTTAGCCATCCTGGTAGATATGTAGTATCTTATTGTTGTCTTGATTTGCATTTCTTGTTGATCACTAATGCCAAACAGCTTGTCAGTGGTTATTGGCTATTTGTATATTTTTGGAGTAATATCTGTTAATATCCTTAGCCATTTTAAATTGAGTTACTTATCTTTTTGTTCTAGAGTTATAGTGTTTGATATAGATAGAAGTCCCTTATGAGATATATAATTTGCAAAATTTTTTTTCTCAACCAATGGGTTGTCTTTTTATTTTCTTTATGACACCCTTTGAAGCATAAAAATTAATTTTTAATAATGGAACATTATTTATTCTTCTATTTCCTGCACTTTTGGTGTTTGTGATGGTTAGTTTTATTTGCTGCAAA